AAGAACAAGCTGAGCTGACCTTTTTCATGCTCCTTGCCCAAGCTGGAAATCATCCCAGAAATTCCCCCTACCTCTGCTTGGCACATAGCCACCACTTTTCTGCTTGGCACATAGCCGCCACTTGTCTTTAAAAGAAACCTGTGAACTGGGCTCTGGACTTCTGTCCTCCGAGTGAGGTGGGAGTCCGTTTTGCAAAACGCCAATAAATCCTCATGCTTGTTGCATCTCCTGATTTGAGGACTGAGTTATTGGGGTGCGACCTCCCGTGAACATTGGGTACCCCAGTCTGGGGGTCCAACATCATCTTGCATCGTGTCCCACTCTTACAGGTCCTATTACAACCAACCTAATTTACTCATGCAACAAATATGTATTGTCTGCTCTGTGCCAGTTACTATCATAGGTACTAGACAGTGAACAGGCAACATTTACAGAGCTGATCCTCATTCTGGTGTGGGAGGTAAACACTAAGCAAATACACAAGTATATGTGATGTCACGATTGAAGAGTACATTAAGGAACACAATGGAGATTTGAGGTGGCTTAGCATGGGGTGGGGTGGGGCCCTGTCGTAGTGGTCAAGTGTGGCTCAGGAAATGGCAAAGGCAAAGGCAAAATCCCTGCACCAACAGCACATGTTACATGTTACAGGAAGAAGAAAATGGTCTGAGTAGCTGGAGTGTGTTCAGGGAGGGAGAGAAGGGATTTATTGATTTATTTTTTTAACTTTTTCCAGTGACCTTTTTTCCCCTAGCACAGTCCTTGCATGTGCTAGGCAAACATTCTACTATTTAGTGACATCCCCATTCCATCCAAGGATTCTGATTTTTTTTTATTGATCACTTTTTTTTTTTGAGACAGTGTCTCCCTGTAGTCCTAGCTGACCTGAAATTTACTATGTAGACCATGCTGGCCTCAAACTCACAGAGATCTGCCTGCCTCTGCCTCCCCAGTGCTGAGATTAAAGGCGTAGGACCCCACACCCAGCTAGGGTTCTGATTTTTAATCTTTTTTTTTTGTCTTTTTGAGACAGGGTCTCCCTGTAGCCCCAGCTGTCCTAGAACTCACTATGTAGACCAGGCTGGCCTTGAACTCACAGAGATCCACCTGCCTCTGCCTCCTGAGTGCTGGGATTAAAGGCGTGTGCCACCACGCCCAGCTGATTTTTAGTCTTTTGATCTAAGTGTTATTGAAGAGGAGACATCTGAATCCTGAGCTGTAAAATATACACATTTTACATAAACAACTCGATGAGTATACATGCACATTTCTGTGATATTCACAATATGAGACATTTCTATTACTCCAGAGGATCCCAGCCTGGCCATGCCTAACCAATTCTCTCCCACCCCACTAAGTACCACTGTTCTTTGGGTCTTTTTGTTTTGTGGTCTTTTTTGAGACAGAGTCTCCTTATAGCCCCAGCTGGCCTGGAACTTGCTATGTAGACCTGGCTGGCCTCAAACTCACAGAGATCCTCTGCCTCTGGAGTGCTGGGATTAAAGGCGTGCGCCACCAGGCCCGGTGAGTACCACTGTTTTTATTTCTCTCTCCAGAGATGACTTGCCTGTTCTTGACCTTCTCATAAATAGAATCATATACTGTGTAGTTCATGACCCTGACTTCCTTAATTCAATATTGAGAGCCATTCATGCAGGTAGTAGTAGTTACTTATTGTCATGGCAGTATTCCATTGAGTGAATATGCCACAACTTATTTGTTGATTCACCTGTTGAAGAACACTGACTTCTTCCCCCAGTTTTTTTCTTTTCTTTTTTGTGCATTGTGTGTGTTTGGTTTTGTTTCGAGACGGGTTCTTGCAGAGTTCAGCCTTGCTTTGAACTTCTGATCCTCCTGCCTCAACATCCTAGAGTATGCTATTATGCTCAGCTTTGTGTGGAGTGTGTGTGTGTGTGTGTGTATGTTATGCAGGTGTGCATGTGCCTGTGCATACAAACACCAGGGGAGAATGTCAGCTGTCCTCCTCCAGTGCTCTCATCTCATTCCCTTGACAAAGAGAGTTCACTGAAGCTGAAGCTCGCTTATGCAGATAGGCTGACTGGCTACCAACCCCTGGGATCTCTGTTCCTCAATGTTGGGAGTTACAAACATGTGTGGCCAGGCCCGGCTTATACTGAAGATTCTAATTCAAAGCCCCGTGCTTGCATGGCCAGTGCTCTTATCCACTGAGCCATCTCCTCAGCCCTTTTTTTTGTTTTGTTTTGTTTTTTTGAGATAGGAATTCATTCTACAGCCTACACTAGCCTAGAAGGCAGTGCATAGCCCAGGCTGACCTCAAATTTGTGGCAATCTTACTGTCTCAGCCTCCTATGTGCTATGATAACAGGTATGAGCCATAGGGCCTAGTTATCCTTTCTTTTTCCTTTCTTTCTTTTTAAAGATTTATTATTTATTATTATTATTATTAGTAGTAGTAGTAGTAGTAGTCTTTTTGAGACAGCGTCTCCTTGTAACCCCAGCTATCCTGGAACTCACTATGTAGACCAGGCTGGCCTTGAACTCACAGAGATCTGCCTGCCTCTGCCGATGCTGGGACTACAGGCATGCACCACCATGTCCAAGATTTATTTATTTTTATGTTATATGTTGGCCTGAATGTATGTATGTGTATCACATGAATGCAAAAAGTGCCCATGGAGGCCAGGAAAGGGCATTGAAACCCCTGGAACTGGAGTTATGGACAGTTGTGAGCCACCATATGGGTGCTGGAAACTGAACACAGGTCTTCTGAAAAACCAAGTGTTGCTCTTAATTGCTGAGCCTTCTCACCAGCCCTGTCCTTTTCTTTAAAAAAAGATTTATTTTTATTTTAATTATGTGTGTGTGTGTGTGTATGTATGTGCACATGAGTTCAAGTGACTGCAGAGACCATTGGATCCTCTGGAGCTAGAGTTGTGAGCCGTTTGATGTGGGTGCTGGAAAATTAACTTGGGTCCCCCGTAAGAGCAGTGTGTGCTCTTAATAGCTGAGCCATTCTCCAGCTGTCTTTTTCTTTCTGTTCTTTTCCTTTCCTTTCTTCTTTTCCAGTATTTGGGATTACATCTATGGCTTCTTGCATGCTGAACAAGTGTTCTACCATCAGCCCCTTACTATGTAGCTGAGGCTAGCCTCAACTTGAAGCAATCCTCCTCCCTCCTCAGCTTCCCAAGTACTGTTCAGTTTCTTTCTTTCCTTTTTTCTTCTTTTTTTTTTTTTTTTGGCTTTTTGACACAGGGTCTCCCCGTAGCTCCAGCTGTCCTGGAACTATGTAGACCAGGCTGGCCTTGAACTCACAGAGATCCACCTGGCTCTGCCTCCCAAGTGCTGGGATTAAAGGTATGAGTCACCATGCCTGGATCTTCCTCTTTTTTTAAACAGGGTCTCACTATGTAGCCCTGACTGGCCTGGAACTCACTAGGTAGACCAGGCTGGCCTCGAATCAGAGAGGTTCACCTGCTCTGTCTCTTGAATTCTGGGATTAAATGTGTGCACCCCATGCCCAGCCTTTTCTGTTTCTTTATCACAAATAAAATTGCTATGATTACCTGAGTGTTTTGGTTCATAGCTGTAATCCTAGAATTTGGGAGTTGGAGGCCAGATCAGTTCAAGGCCAGACTGAGCTACAGACTGAACTTCTGTCTCAGAAAAAAAGCAAAGAATAAACCTTCCATGATTATTGTTATATACACTTTTGGTAAACATAACACTAATTTCTCTTGGGTGTACTCTCAGGAATGGAAATGCTAGGTCATGTATTATGTATTAGTTACGTAACCTACTGGCAGATAGTGCTAGTTTTTCAAAGTGGTAGTACCAGTTTACACTCCCATCAGCAGCATACAAGAGTTCCAATTGCAGGGGCTGGAGAGATGGCTCAGCAGTTAAGAACACTGGTTGTTCTTGCAGAAGACCTGGGTTCACATCCCAGCACCCACATGGCAGCTAACAACTGTCTGTAACTCCAGTTCCAGGGGATCCAACAGCCTCTTCTGTCCTCCAAGGGCACTGCACAACATGGGTGCACTTACCTACACACAGGCAATACATGCAGACACATAAAAATAATAAAAAATATATTTTTTAAAAGTTCCAGTTGCAGCCAGACACAGTAGTGGTACAAGTCTGTAGTCCCAGCACTTGGGAGGCTGAGGTAAGAGGACTAAGAGTTCTAGGCCAACCTGGCCTATATAGTTAAGACCTTGTCTTAGAAAAATAAAAAAAAATTCCACATCCTCATTGGCATTGGTGTCATCAGTCTTTTTCATTTTAGCTACATACAATGAAACAAGTTTTAGAGTGCCCCGGCTGCAATATGGAGTCCTGACTGGTAGCAAGGGATGGGCTGGAGAGATGCTGCCACTAAACAGGTAGGAGGCAAGTCTTGCCATTTAGGGAAGTCTTGAAGGTGGTATGAACTGGGGCAGTCACAGGGGAATGATGGGATCAGTCAGGATGTTCTAGAATTGTAGCTCATGGAATTGGCTAATAAGATGGTGGGAGGATGAGAAAAAGGACACAGGCAGGGTGAGTCTTTGTATGTATGTATGTATGTATGTATGTATGTATGTATGAATGTATTTCAGACAAGATCTGGCTGTGTGGCCCAGGTTGACCTAGAGCTCTCTGTTCTCCTACCGTCTTCTCCCAAGTGCTGGGATTATGGGTGTGCACTACCATACCCTGCCTAAATCGTAGATTTTTATTAGTGTGTGTATATGCAGGAACACACACTTTGTGTGTATATCCGAGGAAAACTTTTTAATGTCAGTTCTTCTCACTTTTACATGGGTTCCAGAGATCGAACTTAGGCTTGTCAGAATTGTGAGACATGTACACACTGAACCATCTCATTGTCCCCCTAAAGCCTAAATTTTTTGAAAGACTGGTAACTGCTGGCTGCATGCATAGCTAGTGCAGCACATAGGCCTAAGAGAGGGTACCAGATCTGCCCCATCACACCTATAACTTAAACTTTATTCTGGGACTGCCCAGCCTCCACCTCATACCTTACAGGGTTAGAAGTGTGATCACCTATCAATGCTTCCTGGAACATGTGAGAACACAACATCTCTTCTGAGTTCCAGTCACCAGACACGGGTCTTGAGAGGTTGGCACCTTTTCCTCTCACCCACATTTTCCAGGTCACTCCAGACTGCCCTGCTGAGCGGCCTTGAGCACTGGGAGGGCATCTCCTGCCCCTTACCACAGCCCTTCCCCAGCTTCAAGGAAACAGAATGGAGAAAAGTAGGAGGCTGATTCATAGACTTTAGTGTATTTTCTCTATCCAGAGGTTTCTATAATGACAACTGAGCCTGTACATAAACACGGTTCACGCTGTTAAAGCTGTGGGGTGGCAGAGTGGGCACTGGGGACTCCTGGGAAGCAGTGGGGCGAGCAGCACAGCCAGAGGCAAGCAGCATTCAAGGGGTGGAGGGAGTGGGGGAGCAGTGTACATGGGGGACTCGGGAGCTGAGAAGGCAGCTGAGGGGATACTGGAGGAGGCCAGGGAGGCTGGGCTGCAGGGGGAGCAGTGAGCAGTAGCAGGGGAAGCAGGCTACAGGAGGGGGGTATGGTCTCTGTTAAGGGCTGGGGCCGTAGCGGGGGCGGGGGGAGTGGCATGGCACATCCTTGAACTTTTTTTGAGGGGGGGGATAGGAACCAGATAGACTACTGTATAAAAGGGACTGTACAACTTAACCTATGATACAATGTTTACATATGATACAGGATTCTTTCCCTCTGAATTTTAAAAAATAAATGTACAATTCCAGAGCTTTGGGTAAAAAATATATACACTACCAGAGCAGGAGCAGTAGCTAATTTTGCTGCTGCCACGGCCACTGCTGCCTCTTCAGAAGAGAAAGAAGTGGGTGCCAGGAAGGAGGGTGAGGCTGAGCCAAGAAACCTCACCCTGTAGCTGCCAGGAGCTCCTGCACCCCTCAGCCCTGGAGCATGTGATGGGAGAGGGAAGGGTGACAGGTAACAAAGGCCATGCCAGAATCCAGTTTCACCTTTACAGTTGCTTATGTCTCTGTCTCCCCAACTTTTGGGAGGAGCTATCTGCCCTAGGTACTGAGATCCACCCTGCCCCAGTTCTATGGGAGGACAAAGGGGAGAGAAGACAGAGAAGAGACTCTGTGATTGGCATCAGACACAGCAAGAAGGATGACAGCTCCTTCCTTAGAGTGAGACACCCCTAAAATCAGGAGTATGGGGAGCAGAGACCCCCTCACTACTGGTACCACTGCATCCTACCCACTGTAAGGCAGAGGGAGGGTCCTATAGGCAGTTTAGGACTGTGTTTCCCTGAGCATCTTTTAGCCTCTCACTGGAGCCCACCCAGGGATCTTGGGTAAGCTTGGGTGGGGAATTCATAGAGATGTATGGGTAACCTTCCTGCCTGTTCCTATTCCCTGCTCGCAGGAGCAGGTTAGCCTCCAGTCTTGGCATGTAGGGCAGCAGGAGGAGCTGAGCAGGGAGTGGTGGGGACACAGCAGACAAGGGTAGCACCAAACAGAAGGATCCCCGAAACACTTGTGACATTCTCCTTCCATTATCAGATGTACTCTTGTTCCCTAAAAGGACATGCATGCACACACACGCACACACGCACACACACACACACACACGCATGGAAATAGTCTAGGGGGTATATATTCAGGGATCTCATCCCTGATCAGGAGAAGCAAAACAGGTGGTGTGGGGAAGGTGGCCTCCAGTCCCTCCCATGCTGTGGCTGGGATCTGGGAGGGGGATGCTTCCTTTCTACTTGGGAAGAAGAGATTGGAAACTCCATCTCTGGAACAAACCTCACCGGGAGGGCACAGAAACTCTCTGCCTCTTTACCAGAGAGGCCAGGAACCAGAGGCCAAGTGGTTTGGGTTTGAAGGAGCGAAGCCAGAGGACTTCAGCAGGATGAACAGGCTTATGAGTCCTGGTGAGTCAACCCAGTTCCTCCTTGTGGGGTGGGAAGTCACTCGGAAAAGATATCCAGTTTGGGTTGGTTGGGGACATGGTGCAAAGTGCTTGAGTGCCAGGTGCCAAGGACCCGGATGAGGGCAGCAGGGGCCACTCTGCTCTCACTGACTGTTGGCCTCCAGCTTGTAGGAGAGCTCGAAGAGAAGGTTCTGGTTGTCAATGACCTGGAACTGGCGCACGTAGGCCTTGGTCTGCAGGTGATGCGGGGAGGCCTCCATGTCCAGGCCTGAGGTGTAGGAAAGGAAAGGTGGTCAGGTGCACAGCCTCCCTTCACTCCCTACATGTGCACCAGGCAGGGCAGAGAAGGGCAAAGCAGTGTGAATGGGGACAGGTATTGGCAAGAGGCCCAAAGAAAGAACAGGGCACTGACCAGTGTAAGGAAATACACATTTCAGCGGGGAGTTCTCCCCGACCCCTCCCCTTCCGCAGCTCTACTTGGGAAGCTTACTGAGCCCTGGGTACTCACAGAGGGGCCGGCTCCGGTATTTGCGGATTGTCCTTACTTTCTCAGCCACTGAATGCTAGGAGATGATTAAGGAATTAGCCCCTGTAAGGGTATAGACTGATGCTTCCCACTTCCACTTAACAACTAAATTGTTTTTACTATCCCCAGTCCCCAGTAATGGGAGCCTCTGAAGGGCCAAAGGAAGGATTACAGCAAGATATCAAAAGAGGGGGAGATAGAGTTGCCCCCAAGCTGCCTGTCAGCTTTGCCACCTGTGGGTGGGTTGCCACAGTGATGCCACCAGGAAGACAGCCTGGAGTCTGTTAGGCAAGCTGGGCACCATAGAGGAAGGCTTCTATTTTAGGGAGGTGACAGGAGAGAGGGGGAGGACGCAGCCCCTTACTCACAGAACAAGGGTTTGGCAGTGCCACTTACCAGCTTCTCAATGTTCACCAAACCATCGACAAGGGTCTTACTTCCCTCATGGAGGAAGGTCAAGTCTACGGACAGGAAGAGAGCTAAATGTGAGGACAGGGTAGGAGTAGGTCTAAAGGACCATTGCATGGGAACCTGTCCTTTCTCCCAGGACCCACTTGATCTGGGGGCACTTCTCTGCAAGAGAAGCTGAGTTGAGAGAGGACTGAGATCAGGGACATGGAAGAAAGCAGTGTGGACAGGAGAGTCACAACATGGGAGCAACTCACCTTTGAGGATCAGTGGCACGAAGGGAATCACAGGGGGCTTCATTTTGGAGATCACTTCTCGGTAGCTTTTGTGGTTCCTGCAGGGGTCCTAGCATCCCACAGAAAAGGGTTCAGAGACAGATGGGCCCCAGTGTACCCTAAAGGTGTTTTCCTCTCTCTAAGGGCTGAGGAAAGCCAAACCCACTTACTGTCAAGTTCTCGAATTTGCGGAATAAGTTCTTGAATTTCCCTGGCAGCTTCTGCAGAGTTGGAAGGGAAAAAATGTGAGACTGGAGCTCCTTGAATTTCATGGGTGCTCCTGACTAATCTTCCTTAGAAGGTTAAGGGGCTTACATCTCTGGGAAGATAACATGTGGAGAAGTAGAATCAGGCCTAGGGGTAAACCAGAGAGCTTGAAACAGGCCAAAGGATGAATTATTCTGGAGAAAATGAGACCTCTGCTTCTGCAGGTGCCATATACAAAAGTGCCCCTTGCTGAGTGCTAGCTGAAACCCAGCTGCCTCCTCTAGCCTGGCTACTCAGGCAGGGATTCTTGCTTTTTACTAATTTGTACAGAAATGAGGCAAGTTCTATATCCTGGGTAGCAGAGGCAGAAGAGGGCACCAGCTTCTAACTAGCACAAAGATTCCTCAGAGAGTAGCAGCAGCACCTGGGGATGGCACTGAGAAGAGCCCAAGGTGCCAAGATCTGGAGGCAAGATTGACTGGCTTGGCACTGTGGGAGAAGGGAGGGAGGGGATCTCCTCACCTCCCAGGTGAGCCGAAGGCGACTGACAGCCGCATTGTCCAGCCCCATGACAACAGCATAGAAGGACAGAAGGTCCTGGTTCTGCTTGCAGCTGTGGAGGAAGGGAGATGAGGTGAGGGGTGGCAGGCAGCTGCTCAGCCACCTGGTCTCTGCATCCTTCCCTGTAGCACTCACATGGCTGCGATCTTGATAAACTTCTTGAGCAGCTGTGCACGCTTGCCCGTTGCCTCACAGAGCAGCACCTCAGTGGCCACCCAGTGAGTGACCTCGCTGCAACGCTGCAGCAGCAGCTCCAGGTTGGCTGTCTCGCGGCGACCACGCTCTCCATGGAACACATAGTCTACGAACTCCAGCTATACCCACAGTGATGGAGGGGCGGCCAGGGTATGTGAGTGGGCAGATGGCAGCACAGGGTGCAGGAAGGAAAGACAGGAGTGAGGGGGTGGAGGGTGGGTGGGAAATAGAAAATCAGGGACAGGACAGGATGCAAAAGAGACAACCAATGTTATTCCTCCACCTGGGGAGCGGTTAGGTACCAGGCACTTGCTAAAGTCTGATTTATCCTCCAGCTGGAAGACACTGTTGTCCTTGACTTCTATTTTTTTTTTTTTTATTTCTATGTTTGGGTGTGTGTGCAAGTACGTACATATGTGAAATTGGAGTTACAGACTATTGTGTGTGACCAGACATGGATGCTGGGAATCGAATTCTGGTCCTCCGGAAGAGCAGCAAGAGCTCTTAACCTCTAAGCCGTCTCTCCAACCCTTATATTTCTTTAATAGTGAATTGTTTGTTTTTAGACAGGGTCTCATGTATCCCAGGTTGGCCTCCAACTCATTATGTAGCTAAGGACGATCTGGGATGCCTTCTGCTTCCACCTCCTAAGTGCTAGGATTACAGGCATGGACCACCATGTCTGGTTTATCCAGTGATGGGGATCAAACCCATGACTGTGTGTGTGCTATGCAAGCAGTCTACAAATGAGCAAATCCCCAGCTCAGTAGTGGACATTTTAAAATACAAATCTTGCTCTGTAGAAGCAGCATGTGGGTTCTGAACCTCTCTGCTGTGGAGGCTCTGCCAGTTTCCAGATGGGTGGACAAAGGCTTACAGGGTTATGGGTATGCATTGTCTAAAGGCATGCTGGAAGTGAGCCTCCTAACAGGAATTTCTACTGCAAATGCTGACTCCCAGTGGCACACCCGCCCTCCTCCACTTCCCCCCCCCGCTGCCCCGTACCCTTGCCAAGCATCAGTTGCAGTCCCACCTCATGCACACATCGGAACAGCTCCCAGTGGAAGGCAGTAAGATGGTTAGCAACATCCTCGGGCTCCACTCGGTGGATCTCTGTGTCTCCAGGGGAGACCTGGATCTCATCAGGGAGGGGTACCTGGTGGCAAGTAGGGTCAGAGGGGCTGGACTCTTTGTGTTGAGGTGAGAGACTGCTCCCAACCCCCCTTCAGTTCTTATTACCAGTCAAGGCTTGTGAAAGAATTCTTACCAAGGACTCATAGCTGTCCTGGGTACAGGCAAACAGGTGGCTGTTGATGCCCAGAGTGGTGAAAACACAGTCCTCTGTTGGCTGGAGGAGGACCTTCTCTGAAGAAGAATAGGCAGCTCAGCCTCAGCCACCTGCACCCTCATATCCCCAGGCTACCATCACCCTTCCCCTCTAGAGACTCCTAACCCTACACTGACACATTCTAGATGAGTGGGACTCTCATCACCAGCTTATACCAGATTTATCTGAAATTTGTCAAATGATTTCTTTTGCATTTATAGATACAACATTCTTTTGTAGCTCATCTCTCATGCCTTCATCCCTGTGACATTGGACAGACTGGAATTTTTTTTTCCTTTGTGGAAAATAAAGTTAAGATGAGCATGCTGAAGCATGCCTGAAATGCTAGTACTCCAGAGGCTGAGGCAGGAAAGACAATTCTAGACCATCTGGGGCTTCACAGCAATATCCCGTCTTACACACATACATATGCACACCAGCTAGGCTACGTTGCTGACTCCCTGCCTCCCCACAGGACTGGTGACCATCCTATGTCTTCAGCTTGGAAAAAAAATGGAGCATCTGAATGGAGATGCTGAAGGCAGGGGGTAAAGGACCAGAACACAATCTCCAGGTGGGTGTTAGGCAGTATCCAGGTCAGAACCTAAGGATCCTGAACTGGTGTTTCTCAAATTTAAATGTGCATATGCATCTCCTCGGGGGCGGGGGGGGGGTCTTGTCAAATTCAGATTCTAATCCCGCCGGTTGGGGATAGGGACACTCTCCCAGGCAATGCACGCAGGGCAGGTCTCAGGAAAACGCTTTGAGTATCAAGGGCCTAGAATTTAGTCTTTACCCATGCCTAGAGCGTTGACCCTCACCTCCAGAGGAGGCTACAGCTACCAGGATGAGGGAATCCTCACGCTCTGCAGGCTCCTCGGAATACTGCAGCTTCTCTGTCACAGAGCCCAGAATGTCCTGCACTGATGCAGAGAGGCGGCTGCGTATGGTCACGTAAGAGTGGTCAGGCATGTAGACTCGGCAGAAGACTGCACAAAGACAGGAAAGTGACTTTTCAAGAGAGGAACAGAATGGCAGGCCCAGCACAGGCACCGCCAGGCTACCTCTGTGACCCCACCCCAGGGACTCGTCTCTGAAGACTATGAAAGGGGATGGGAGACCCCACTAAGGGTGCCAAAGACCTGAGACCCCCACACAACCCCATGAGCCACTCCGAAAGTTCTGCCCTTCCTAATGTCCACACTTACTTTCATCTGAGCCCCGGAATGCCACTCGGGTCTGCAGACAGGAGTCTATTCGGCGGAAGTGGCGGAAGAGTGGCTTTACCTGCTTGCTAGGAGGCTGGCTCTCCTCTGGAATCCTAGAATGAACACAGTGAACATCAGCCAGGCATATGGAGCACAAGGCAAGAACGTTAAGCAAGTACTGGAATTGGGTCAAGGATGCACCAGCTCCAGTTTCAGGTGTGTTAAGGATGTCAGAAGAGATGACAATGACTAGCAAGGGACAACTGTCAAATGACCCAAATCAATTGCCACCTCTTTCATAGCCCACCCGGCTATGAGGAAAGGTCACTTTTTATCTCAAATGCTATAAAACAATGGAACGATATTGTTTATGATGGTGTCATGCCTTCTACCAGATTGAGAATTTTTGAGGAACAGGATTAGTTTCTACTGAATGTTTTTCATCCTCAGAGCCTAGCACACTGCTTGGCACATGGTAGGCAGTAGGCTATCAGATATTTGCTCGATTTTGCCAACAAGGACTTGACAGTCTGGGAGGGAGACAGACATGCATGCAGCTACTTCTGACACCAGCCAGAAGGTGTTGGTGAGATAACAAAGGTACAAGAGAGTGATGGGGTGTGAGGAAGGAAGGAAAAACTACTCCTAAAAGGAGATCTGAGATATTTTCTTGGAACAGATGGCATTTGACCTAGGCTTTGAAGGATAACAGGAAGAGAAAGGGGTGGGAGGAGGGCATTTTGGGTAGTTGATGTCACTAATAGCAGGAAAGCGCAAGAGAGAGTAATGGGCTGGACAGGAGAAGGGGGATGTAAGAGATGAGAGCAGAAAGACCAGCAGAAGGTAGGATGCAAAGGGTGCCAAATGCCGTTCTGGTATTTAACCTGAAGACACTGGGGAGCATGGACGCCTTGGGAACAGAAGTATGAAGGCATCATTTACACAAATGTGAAAGATCTCTTTGGTATCACTACAGAGCAGGGAGAAAGATCAGACACTGACGTCCTGCAAGAGGCTGTGGCAGCAATGTAGGTGAGGGATAATGAGTCCCACATAAGACTCACAGCAGCAGGGATGGAGAGGAGAAAACAAAGAGATGTAGCAGTGTCCTGGAACTAGCTCAAACGCTCAGGAGTCCAATTTGAGGGATTCTGCTCTCTGTGTGTTTGTTTGTGTATTTATTTATTTTAAATTTTGGTGGTTCTGGGGATTGAACTCAGAGCCTTATGCATGCTAGTCAAATATTTCACCACTCAACTACATCCCAAGTCCTTATTATTTTTTTTTTTATTTTGAGACAGTGTCTCACTAAGTTGACCAGGCTGGCCTTGAACTGACAAGCCTCCTGTTTCAGTAGCTGGGATTACAGGGGCATGCCACCCATGCCTAGCTGTCAAGGGAGTTTTAAGCACAGCCATTAAATGTATATGTATGTTATGTGCACACATATACATATGTACTTTATAAATTTGTCAGATAAATGATTATCAAAAAGAGTTTCAAGCCAGGCATCATGACACACACCTATAACCCACCACTTGGGAGGCAAAGGCAGGAGGATCATTACAAGTTCTAGACCAGCAAGGGCAACATAGCAAGACCCTGTCTCGAAAGAAAGAAAGAAAGAAAGAAAGAAAGAAAGAAAGAAACGTGGTTTTCTGGATTTTTTTCCTCACAGCTTTCCATTATCAATGCCTTTCAGCGTATTTTTGTGTATGTTATCACAGTGCAGTAGAAGCACTGTAAAGCAGCCACTGCAAATCTCTTTACAACTCTCCATTTAGTGACATCAGGCTGATAGCCTGAAATCAACCATGGTAAGAGAATTTACACCATAGCCGAGAGTGGTGGTACACATCTTTAGTCCAAGCACTCTGGAGGCAGAGGCAGGCAAATCTCTGTGAGTTCAAGTCCAGCCTGGTCTATATGGCAAGTTCCTGGCCAGCTGGGGCTACAGGGAGACTCTGTCTCTGTTATACCATGGGTATCAGCCAAGGCTATGAATCAGGTCACTTTCTCATAAATCACAGATTGCTAAATATTTGCCAGAACACCACCAGATTGATAAACAAGTGGATGAGAAAATGGAAAAAACAAAAACAAAAAGACTAGAGCTGGAGCTGGGTATGGTAGCACCGGCCCATAATTTAAACGCTTGGGAATCTCTGAGACAAGGAGGATCACTGCTAGAAGCCAGCCTGGGTCATACAGTAAGTTGGATAAGACACTGTCAAAAGAAAGAAAAGAAAGAAAGAAAGGAAGGAAGGAAGAAGAAAGAGAGAGAGAAAGAGAGAGAGAAAGAAAGAAAAAGAAAGAAAAGAAAGAGAGAGACAGGGAGACAGGGAGGGAGGGAAGGAGGGAGGGAGAGAGAGAGAGAATTGGAGACATGTTCTCTGTTACTCCCTATTAAGGGAAAGGGGCTGAAATAAAACCATATTAAAGCCACAAGAAAGACCAGAGTCAGGCCCTGACTCAGGGCACCTCTTTCCCCAACACCTTCTTCCTCACTTTAGCTCCACTGTCTCCACCAGCTGGTGCAGCCTTAGCGTGTCCTCTCGGAGGTCTTGGTAAAGGGACTCATCCTTCATAATTAGTAGATATAATTCCTAGGGAGAGGACAGAAACAGTAAGGACAGGCATCTCATCTCAAGAACCACTCACTACAAGGGCTGAGGTAGGGTCTCCACACCTTGAGCACTGAAGAATTATACAGGCTAAAGCCCACTGGCATCTTTTGCTTCCAAGTACCCAGCTTGAGGAGTGTGGATCCACCAAAGGGGCCCATTTCACAGCTAACAGCCAGCTGACCCACCTTGATAATGTGGCCAGCCCCTTCTTCCTCTTGTAGTAGACCTTGGTAGGTATCCAAGAAGTGGAGGAGCATAGCTAGACAGGCTTGCTTCCGGCCCAGGCCCTCTGGACCCTCCAGGTTTCTTGACTGAACAAAGCTGACCCCTAAGTTAAGAAAAAGTTCTGGATAGCCAAGGAAATTGGGAAAGGAGGCAATGGGAGGATAAGTAGCCCGAAATATTCTGGACCGAGTGCCAGAGAGAAAGGAGGTTTTCAGGGTCTTGGAACCAAGATTCTCATCCATGTCAGTCAGGGTTTTTGCTCAGAGTAAATAGGAGGGCTTCAACTTGACCACTTGTAGCTCTTGCCTGTGAGAGTTTGGGCTGGTGAGATGGCTCAGTGGTTAAGAACACTGGCTGCACTTGCAAAGGACCTATGTCAGATGGTGGCTAATGACTGTCTGTAACCTCAGTTCTAAGGGATCCAATGCTGTCTTCTGGCTTCTGTGGGCATTGCATGACACAGGTGCACTTCCACACATGCAGGTTAATCACTCATATACATAACATAAAAATAAATAAAACAGCCGGGTGTGGTGGTACACACCTTTAATCCCAGCACTCAGGAGGCAGAGGCAGGCGGATCTCTGTGAGTTCGGAGGCCAGCTTGGTCTCCATTAGTGAATCCAGGCCAGCTGTGGCTACAGGGAAAACTTGTCTCAAAAAGACCAAAATAAATAAGTAAATAAAAATAAATAAATAATTTAAGAAAAAAGAAGATTAGGAGCTAGAGAGATGGCTCAGCACTTAAGAGCAGTGACTGCTTTTCCAGAGGATTCCATGGGCATTGCATGACATGGGTGTACTCACATACATGCAGGCAATACACTCATACACATAAAATAAAAATAATAAATAAAATATTTTTTAAAAAAAGAAATAAAAAAGAAAAAAGAAGACTACCAAGACCCAGTCAATCTCTGGTCAGCCAGGGCTTGGTGCTCACAAACTTGACTTTACCTCACTGTGATACCTGATGTTTCTAAGAGTCTATGACATTCTACTTAGTGACTTGACATTTACGATTAGGTTCTAAAATCACTCAATGAAGCTAGGCGTGGTGGTACATTCCTATAATCCCAGCATTCAGGAGGCAGAGGTAGGAGGACTGCTACAAATTAAGGCTAGCCTGGTCTACATAATAAGTTCCAGGCTAGCCAGGGTTACCCAGCAGGACCTGTCTCTTAAAACGCAAATCAGGGGCTAGAGAGATGGCTCAACAGTTAAGAGCACTGACTGCTCTTCCAGAGGACCAGGATTTGGTTCTGAGCACCCACATGGCAGCTAACAACTGTCCTTAACTCCAGTTCCAAGGGACCTGATGCTCTCTTTTGGACCCTGTGGGCATTGCATGACACAGGTACACTTACAAACATACAGGCAAAACACTCATATGCATAAAATAAAAATTAAAAAAAATTTTAAAAAAGCAAATCTGGCCGGACATGGTGGTACATGCCTTTAGTCTCAGCACTCAGGAGGTAGAGGCAGATGGAGCTTTGTAAGACTGAGGTCAGCCTGGTCTACATAGTGAGTTCCAGGCCAATTGGGGCTACAGGGAGACCCTGTCTCAAAAAAAAAAAAAAAAAAAAAAAAAAAGGCAAAGCAAATAGACTCACAAATAGACTCAATGAGAGAGGCTCTATGCTGCCAAGAGACCAAATAAACAGGCCACAGTTGCTCATCTCTAGCAGACCCTACTGAAGCACAGCTATGACCTAATGCTGAAATCAGACCCTATAATAGCTCACATGGCAAGCAAGTGTTTAGAGCAAGGATCATCAGTGGGGAGAGAAGCACCCTTAATAAAACAGTAACACCTTACACTTGTGTACTTTGCCGCCTCCAGAGCACTCCCTCATCTGGAACTGTGTTGACCTTCACAGCAGCCCATAACAGAGCAGCTGCTGTTTACCTCTATTTCACAGAAGAGGAAACTGAGGCCCCAGGAGGTGAAGTGATCTATCTGCCTAAGATCACCCAACCAGTGAGACAAAAAGTTGGGTGTGTTTTCTAGGGGAGCCTTCTGGCTGGGATGTTGCTTTTGAGGTGGGAGGTGTGGTACCCTCATAGTATGCCCTTTTATAAGCTCTATAAAAGGATATTACTGATGTAGCTCTTGTAGAAATTTCTCTGTCGGCAGGAAGAGGGAGTGGGTGAGGACAATGTCATCAAGTAGAATATCTGTAGAGATCAATGGGTGTCACAGATGTCATGGGACATTTCCAGATCCTGATTGGAAACCCTGCACCCTCCTTTCTTGCCTCTTTCGCCAGACTGGAGCCCTGGCCACCTGCCCCGTCATGCTCTGCACACACGCACACACATGTGTGAAGGTTCTGGGCAGCCGCTGCGGGGGTGGGGCTGGCAGCTGCCAAGGCAGCTGGAGGAAGGGGGGCGGGGTGCCTCTGATGGCCATGTACACTTCTCTTCAGTGTGTGTGGGAAGTTGGTCAGATAACACACCGTGTCTGAGGTCTGCTTGGGAAAAAAAGTAGCCCACAGAAGGGACTCTAAATAGAGAATTGGCAAACACAGGAGTTAGGTCAGAGGGATGTAGATGTGTGGGCATGTGTATCCCTCCTCCCTTCACCACTCCCTACCTCACAGCTTTGAGTTTCCACAGGGCAGGTGGGAACCAGCCCCATTAAAAGGGAGAGGGGAGAGACTGCCTCTTTGATCTGTCTTTAAATAGAAATCCTGTCCTCTGGGAGCCCAGAGGTGGAAGGGTTAATGATGTGGGGAGTGGGGGCATGGGTTCGTCTCACCACTCTTTTCCCTCCACACCCTTGTCTGGGCCTGGCTCAGCCAGTCAGCCAGGTACAAGGTCGCCCTGACTTGCAGCCAGCCCCTGGGGTGGGGCAGGGCTGCCTGGCACACAGAGATGGGCAGGGCACAGGGAGGGAGCCTGGTGTCCTCACTAGGACAGGTTAGGGCCAGGTCCCTGGGCACTGCTTCAGGACAAAACCAAGGTCTGACAGCCCTTGGCTCCATCATGCCCTGCCGCCAATTCTAGCCATGAAGGTGGAGGTGGAGAACCAATCCAGGATTATCCGCTTGGACTCTTTCATTTCACAAATGAGAAACTGAGGCTGAGCTAGGAGGCACTTGCATGGAGCTGGAAGTAGAACCTGGACTCCTGAGTCATTGTTCTTTTCTCAACATGTAAGAGGCAAACAGAGTTTCAGGGTAAAATCTAGTGGTCAAGAGGGTCTGTCTAAACCTCTGAGGGACTCTGACTAGGGGTGGAGAATCTTCCATAAGCTATGTCCTCCCACACATCCTGGGAGGGGACCAAAATGGCTTGGCAATATCAGAGTAGCAGGTTAAGCTGGGATGATTTCCCAAACCAGTTACTCTGGGGATCTAGCCTGCCAAGCCAGATAATATCGGTGACAATTTGGGAGTCAACCCCAGGGAAACTGAACAGTCTCTAGCATAAAACCCCTGTAGAAGACGAGAGACATTTTCTCCCTTTCCTTCTGTCCAGCCACCTTGCTGTGCTCTTGAAAGTAAGTTAGAAGAGCCCTCCAGCTCCAGGATCGGGGACCATGAATAGGGAGGCCTGACATCCTTCCCAGTATCTTTATTTCACAAGAAAGAGACTAATGAAACCAGAGTGAAAGAAGAGAAACATGGGACAGAGTGGGGGAGATGCTGATATGGGGGCTACGGTTTGGGTTTGGCATCTGTTTTTTCCAAAACAGGCGCTCGTCCAATGCACAGCCTCCCTAGGGAATGTGTCATAGAGACACAGGGTGTGTGGTGTAGGCGGGAAGTTATGGTTAAGAGAGCTGTGTGTGTCTGATATTTTTCTAATTAAATCCAAAAGGTGTCAGCTCCCCAGGGCAACTACAGCCTGAGCCAAAAGAGAGGACCTAGACCTTGAAAAAAAAAATCTAGGTGGTGGGTAGCACCCCACTCCTAAAGCTGTAATACCTTTAGAGGACAAAGAGCAATGTGTACCTCCACCCCCATCTTTAGGGTCTCAACTTGGGGTTCTCAAACCTTTGACCCTTGTGGGTTTACTGTAGTGCCTAGAGCTAGACCTAAAGACCCCTGTATCTTCTACCTCAGCTCTAATCAGTAATTTGAAGCCTCATTTCTTCAAAACCCCTCAATAGGGTGCTGCTGGGGAGGAGTAAAATGGCATCATCATTTGGGGAATAAGTCTCTCAGGGTGTGGTTATTATTTTTTAAAGAGGCCTTGAGCTGAGGCATGCCACTGGAAGGGTGGGAGCTGGAGAGGCCCAGACCCTTCCAATGCTGCAGGTCCCTTGTACTGCCTGAAAGCCTCTTCTCTCACTGAGACCTTCAAATCTACCCCCAGGGAGGATGCTTTTCTCCCCCACAGGCAGCTTGGGACCTGTGCCTATCCACACTGCCCAACCAAGTGGGCCAGCCTGTGCTCTGGAGTCTACACAGCCAGCGACCCCTGTCAGAGCTTTCAGGCCTTAAGCACAGTCTGCAGAGTGGCACAACCTTGGCTAAATGGCTTCCATCTTGGTGTGTAAGGCCCTAATTTGGGGGCACAGGGGGAGGTAGACAATATCATGGACCCATGAGAGACTGGTTTGATGTCCAGGGGAGAGGAAGAATGGCTGAAGGAGAGAAAGAGGCTCAGCTTCTTCCGGGAGGGTAAGGCTGCTGTGCGGAGGAAGGTGGGCACTGGCCAGATCCCTTCTCTTACATCACTTCGGGAGTCCCCTACATCCATGCTCCCGCACTTTGCCTCCCCCACTCTCCAAGGGCAAGAAGAGGAACCAGGGACACCTCTTGCTCTGGGATGGATGAGCAGGACGATTCCTTACCTGAGGCGCTGCTGTCCCTGGTAGTCCCTCCAGCCAGGCGCTCCAGAACCCGGTTCAGAAGATGCTCCGGCCGCTCCGGGGCGCCCAGGGGGGCCCAGGGCGGTGAAGTCAGGGGCTCGCCGGGAGAGAGCTCATCCGAAGAGTACGAGGAAGGGGAGCGCAGAGGTCCCCCGCACCCGAGCGGCCCGGGCCCGGGCACCTCCTCCAGCTGCAGCCAACAGGGCCCCCCGCTGCTCGGGTCTTCTGAGACCCCCACCGGCTCTCCCCCTTCCTCCTCGGGGGGCGGCTCCAGGCCTGGCTCGGCGGGGGGCTCCCGGAGGAAAGCGGGGAGCAGCAGGCGAGACACGCTCTGTCGCCGCTGCAGCGGCCGCAGTCCCCCGGCCGGACCTCCGCCCCCGCCGGGGCCCCCACCCCCTCCAGGCGCGCCGCAGCCCCCCGGACCTCCGCCGGGACCTCCCGCCACCGTTCGCCCCGCCAGCTGCGACGTCTGCTTTTTCAAAAATTTCTCCAGTGGCTTCATGCCCCCCCCGCCCCTCTCCTAGGGGCCGCCGGGGGACCCAGGTGTCCCGGGCGCGGGCGGGGGGGGCGGGGACACGATGCTCAGAGCCGGAGGAGCAGAGCGGAGGGCCGTGCCAGGCGCGGGACCGGGAGCCCGAGGTGGCCGAGCCTCGCTGGCCACAGTCCAGAGGCCGGTGGCCCGGGGAGGTGCCGGCGGGAAGGAGTACCTGCTCTCAGCGGGCCCCCATGCTGGCTGCAGCCGGAGGGTGGACAGGCTGCGGTGCCCGGCTCAGCGCTCCGGGGCCGGGCAGAGGCGGCAGAGGCAGCGGGCGGAGCGCAGGGCTGCGAGGACGCGGCGGCGGCGGCTGCGCTCCTGGCCCGGGGGAAGGTGGCAGAACTGAGACCGCGCCCCCTCCTCCAGTCCCCGCCCCTACCCTTCTCAGGCCCGCCCACACCCGGCCGCGCGAGGCTTGAACTTGGGCGCTGGTGCTGACCGCCAGGAGATCCCGGGTTGGGCCTCTGAGCAGACGCAGAAATTAAGGGCAAAGGTTAGGAGAATAAGGTACCAAAGGGAAAGGACTCCCAGCTCCGGATTACCGGGTCTCTTTAGAATCAGAGCTGGGGCAGATCTTTGGCCTACACCTTGACACACCTACCTGTGCACAGGTGAGGCTTACAAAGACTGCTGAACTCTTAGCATCTTTCCCTGTTACCTTCCACCCTTCAGAAGGGCTGGGGATGTCTGTTGGGTGAATTGGCATTGGCATGGAGGGTGGGACCCATGTGCGTTCTCTGATAGGGTATAGGTGGTGCAGGGTTGCCCTGTAAGGCAGGTACTGGCAGGTAGGAAAGAGCCAGGTGGAGAGCAGCAGGTTGTGGCAGGTCTAGCTGGGGTGAAAAGAGATAGGCAGGAGGAGACCAGGAGCACAAAGGGCACCTGAACCTAGGCTTTGGCCTAGGAAGCAAGGAAGCAAGTCCACAAAGAGGGGTGGTAAGTCCCAGAACTGCCAACTAATCTCAGCAAAGGTATACAGCCCAGTGTACATAGCTATGGAGTGGGAGAAGTGTTAAATTAGCATCCTAATTCATCTTTACTCCTGATGCCCATGCTAGAGCATTCTGTCCCTAGGGGTACACGGACTGCCCTAGGAGGATCAGAATATGAAAGTCACAGTGTGAACACATCCAGGGTAGACTTACATGTTGAGGGAGTGGCACCAGGTTCCAGATGGGTTGAGGCTCCTGGGATAACACTCCACCCCTGTTTACTGTTCACCAGTCAGGCATGGGACAGGAATGCTAATAGCTGGGAGTGGTGGAACTGACAGGGTGTGTACTACACTTGTGTTGCTGTCTGTGCATATCTGGTTCCATGTGTGCTAGAGCATGTGTTCACAGAAATAAGCTCTGCACACCCGTCTGTGATTTGGAGAGGGAACAATGAAAAGAACACTAATTTTGGCTAAGAAGCTAGGTCTGAAGCAGCTTTCTGGGCTCACGTTATGACACGTCTCTAAGGCTGAAGTAGCAGCTGGCTGGAGAGGCTTGGAGCTCCCCAGGTAACCTTTTAGGAACCAAATAGGAAGAGGAAAGGGCTTCTCTTCTGCACATGCCACAGTTACCAGATTAAGCCGGTTGCCTTGGTAACCTCTCTGGGCAGGATTTGGGATTGTCGGTTAGGAAGGGTGAAGAATTCGGGAGTATGGTGGTTGACAGGGATGGAAATAGACTGAGAGACTTCTACAAACTAAAAACTTGGGGAACAGGACTCCAGTACCCCTTCAGCTACCAAAGGGTATGAGGCAGTGACTAAGTTCAAGACTGAAGCAGAAAGGGGCAGCATCTGTGGTCCTGTTGAACAATGGTGGTTTCTATTCAGACTGCACATTGGAATCCCAGGGGAGCTTTTCAGAAATGCTGATGCCCAGGTCACACCTGAGATCAACGATAAGATCTAGGCCCAAAGCTTTTGTTTGAAAAGCTCCTCAGGTGATTCAAATAGACAAGGTTGAAAAATCACTGCTCTAGGTCAACGCTACTGGCTGCAGATGCAGATTTGGTGATTGCAAATCTTTTGAGTTGCCTACAAGGTAGTAAGTCTGTGGGCTGACCCAGAGAGAGAGGGTTGATAGGACATCTGCAACCTAAAATTAAGAGAAAGGTAGGGTGGTATATAATTATTTAACTGTGAGGAAATGGGGGCTTCTAGAAAGGTGTTGGGCAGGGCTACCTAAGGCTAATCTATCTGCCCCTGAAACCACTATTATTTCTGCCCACCGAGAGGCAGGCTGGGAGGGCAGAGAACCTGAGGGCTTTGCAGAGCTTGAGTTTCTTCTTGCTGCGCTGGTTACCAGGGCAACAGAGAGAGAGCAATGGGATCTAACTGCAGGACTGGGGAAGAGGCAGGGGTGAGGGGGAAGCATCTTAACACTCTCACTCCTCCTGCCAGTAACCCACCCCCAAGGTTGGTTGGCATTCTTTGCATGACCCCAGGAACCATGCCTAGAATTACTCATCACTTTGTGGGACAAAAGGGAAGTAAAATGACATGATCAAAAGAGTAAATTGGGATGGGGTCAGTGAAATCATAGGTTATCTTGCAGCAAGCTCTAAGAAGTGTTGACTAATTTCCATCTATCCCTTTAAGCTGTCCCAATGATGGCCACACCGTCAGTGTAAAGCTCTGTGGAACCCAAGAACAACTGCTTCCAACTCAATACTCAGTTGCTCTTCCATGCCAGAGATAGCATTTATATAATACTGTCAACTTCCACTCAAAAAGTTAATTTAAGACTAGGTATTACCCTGTATGCCCCAGGGTCCCAGGTAGAAGGCCGCATCTATCAGTTGGTGGTGGTCTTTCAGTTTTCCTAGTTCTTGCCTGTACTTTCCGGAAACATAGACCTACAGTTGTACTAACATTGGTAGTTCAGGACCTGGATAAACTTATTTGCTAAACACAAAGGAAGACATTAGGAACACTAAATGTTCAGGTAGATAAAGCAATTATTTAATTAGCTCTGTCCCTGACACTTCCATTCTAAGGGACTGCATGACATCCTGGTATACACATAGCAATGTGGAATGGAATTTAGAAAGAATTGTCGGGGCTGGAGAGATGGCTCAGTTGTTAAGAGCACTGGCTGTTCTCCCAGAGGACCCGGGGGGTGGCTAACAACCATCTGTAACTCCAGTTCCAGAGGAAACTGATGCTCTCTTCTGACCTCCATGGGCATTGCATGACATAGGTGCACTTCCATGCATACAGGCAATACATTCATACTCATAAAATGATGAATAAAATATTAGAAGGAAAAAAAAAAAAAAAAGAATGAACTGTCAGGAACCGGGTGTGATGCTCTACTCTAGATATCCCAGCAGTTGGAAAGTGGAGGCAGTATGATGATATCCCACCAGTTGGAAAGTAGAGGCAGTATGATCAGAAATTCAAAGTCATCACCATCTTCTCAGTGATTGAGAGGCCAGCCTGGGCTACATGACACCTTGGTTTGAAAAACAACAAAAAACCAAAAAGAAAGGGGAGGAGGATGAGAAAATGTTGCTGGGCACATCCAAACTCAGGGTCTCACAGGAACTCCTTACCGCTCTGACCTTCCATTTCACCAGTCTGAGCTGGCTCAAACTGTGACTGCAATTCTATAGGGAAATTAAGAGTTCTCTTTCTTCCCAAATCAAGACTCACACAAGAACTGGCAACAGAGCCAAGTTTATAGTCTAAATTTTATTATCTTCAAGTCACAATGCTGATCACAAATGTGCACCCTGTAAAAAAAACAACAACAAAAAACAACAACAACAACAAAAAACCACACACACACACACACACACACTCATACACGGTGAAATCCTTGCAACTAAACACAGTGGACCAACACAGACAACTGTCACAGTGTCTTAAGGTCTGGGAATCTGGGCTACTGCCCACAGGCTTGAGGGGACATCTTCAGGTTTAAGGCAAAGGGAAGCCCATCAAAGGCACAACCACCAGCTACCCCTAGAAGAACCTCTTGTTATTTCCTCCGGGGGGGGGGTGTCACAGAATAAGTGCCTCCCCCATCCCCACACCTTGACTCAGAGTGCTTAGGCCAGCTGTAGGAGGGAAGGAATAACAGTGACATTACTAGGAAAAGACAGCCATCACCTTCTCCCTCAGGTTCTGTAGGAACCCTAGTAGACAGTGCTGCAGTAACTAGAATTTCCAGAGAGGCATAGGTATGTGGTTGGTGCCATGGAGAGGAAGGATAGGAGGGACAGCCCTTGCCCAGAAGGTGACTTGCTTCCTTAGAACTTTAAGCCCGGGTACATAAAGTTATCTTCTGTTTGCAAGAACAGGAGTAGAATTTGGGGACAATAAGGTAGCAACATCTAAAAACACTTGTAGGAGGAAAGTCATGAGAACAACTGCAAAGACAAGGCAGATGGCTTGTAGATAGTATTTGCCTCCAGAGATGCATTGGTCCACAGCAACTGGGAAGGGATGTACAGGAGGGATGGAAAGAAAAGAAGCAAGGCCCACTAATCCACTGACCTCAAAGACTCTGCAATGCATTCCCCTAATGGTACAGAGGCTCTCACTCTACCCTCCCTTCTCACAAAAGCATCCAGTTTGTCATCTCTCCCACAGAGTCTGCCTTGGTAGAGAATTGAAGCTCACCAGAGTATAGGTACTGGAGATCCAGACTTCTAAACCTATACCAAAATAAGGGCTCCTACTCACCCACTCTGCTTTTCTCTAGGATACTGTGTGTAGATAGCTTCACTTCCTTCCACAGGGTTAGGAGTTACGAAAATAAAGGTCAATCAAAAGTGAGAAACTAGGTATTTTTACACTTGATCTATTCTGTTATTTGGGATTCAGGGAAGAGTCAAAATGGAATCCAGAGTCTAGTACACCAGAATGAACTTGTTTCATGTAAAGGGGAGGGGCAGAGAAAAGGAGAAAAAAAAACTAAGAACATTAATCTGAGAAGGGTAAGTCAGGCTTTAAAAGTGAACATTCAAACAGGAAGGAGCTTCCCTGGGAGCAGAAGACACTTGAATTTTCTGGGAGAAAGTTAACAACAACAAAAAACAGAACAAAATGCAGGCTTCTGAATCTAGACTCAGAAATCTGGAGTTTCCAGTCTCTGTTCCCCTGAGCTCAGCCAGCTCAAGTAAAGAGTGGAGGTGGAAGGAAGGAAGCCACTTGTTTTTTCTCTCTCCAGCAGACCTGTCCTCAGAGGAAGAGGGTCCCTTCTCCTCTTTCAGCTGCTTGCTGGGAGGGCCACCCGTCATCTTTGAAGCCTCCTGGGTAGTAGACAGACAGTTGTATCTCTCTTCTCTCCTGAGTTCTCACCTCTCCTGTTCTAATAAGAACATCAACATGTTAGTGGACCTCTGGATATTTATATAAGCTTTCTTAAAATGTCACATTTCTTTTTTAAAAAAAATATTTTATTTATAGGCCAGGCGTGGTGGCGCACGCCTGTAGTCCCAGCACTTGGGAGGCAGAGGCAGGCAGATCTCTGCAAGTTCAAGGCCAGCCTGGTCTACATAATGAGTTCCAGGACAGCTGGGGCTACAGGGAGACACTGTCTCAAAAAGACAAAAAAAAAAAAAATTTTATTATTTTTATTTTATGTGTTTATTTTATTATTTTTATTTTATGACATGCCTGCATATCATGCAATGCCCATGGAGGACAGAAGAGGCTGTCAGATCCCTTGGAACTGGAGTTACAGACAGTTGTTAGCTGCCATGTGGGTGCTGGGTATTCCGCAAGAAGTCAGTGTTCTTAACTGCTGAGCCATCTCTCCAGCCCCAAAATGTCACATTTCTAAATCATGTTGTTTATTTATTTATTTGGTGCCAAGGATCAAATATAAGGCCTTGCACATGTTACAATCTCAGCTCCTATTTACTGTGCTTTAATGGCCACAAAAAAAAAAATAAAAAAAGCAGTAAAAATAACCTACAGTAAGGTGGCCCTAGAAGCAGGAACATGGAAAGTTTGTGGCCAGCCTGGGTATTTAGAGTCCAACACATATACCCCCAGACCCCAAAACAACCCACAGCCTTTCTCCTCAGACTTTTATGATTGGCTCTTTCTGTTTATAACAGCTTAAACTTAGAGCCTTCATCTAGTTTAGACTGGGCTCCTGTATTTTTACTTGTAGTTTCCCAAATGAAATTCTCCTTAGGAATGGTTTCTCTTTAATTCTGCACAATGCAATCATAGAAATCAAATCAAAAGAAACTTCCACAAGATATCCCATGACTCTAATGTAAAAGCACTAACTGGGTGATTTTGCTAAGCATGTACGCATAAGCATTAGTTTTAGAATAAGTGTCATAATAAGTTGGGTACTTACAAATGATGTTACACTTAAAAGATTCGAAAACTCATATTAACTGGAACCTCTGCTTACAACCTGAAATAATAAAGTTGGAATCTGTTATCATGTCACACAAAAGAGACCTTCACAAAACACACCCTTAGTAAAGAAATCCTCTGGAGAGAAGGAAAGGCCCCTGATGCAGCATATGCTGTGAGTATGGAAGGAGTCATACCTCAGCTGGAGGGGGCTTGATGGTGACTGGATGGGGAGTCCTCCGAGGTGGGGAGGGTTTTTGCTGTACCTGCTGCTGGGCAGGGTTATAGTAGGTCACTCCTCCATATACCTGTGATGGGGCCTAGGACCCCAACAAGCCAGGAGAAGACAAAGTTAACAATTAATTCATCCAAATTATAATAAGCAAGAAACATTATCTACCTGCAAAAATAAGAACACTGAGGAATTTCCAAATTTTTGTTTGTTTTTTTGAGACAAGGTCTCATTATGTAGCCGAGAAGACAAAGTTAACAATTAATTCATCCAAATTATAATAAGCAAGAAACATTATCTACCTGCAAAAATAAGAACAGAGGAATTTCCAAATTTTTGTTTTGTTTTTTTGAGACAAGGTCTCATTATGTAGCCCTGGCTGGCCTGGAACTCATTATATACCAAGTTGATCTTAAACTCATTGAGATACCCTTGCCTCTGCCTCCTGAGTGTTGGGATTAAAGGTGTGCCATCACCACACCTGGCCCAAGAATTCCTAATTAAAAAAAAAAAAAAAAAAAAAAAAAAAAATCTAAAAATTATAGTTAGGGTGTGGTGGCGGGAGGCAGAAGCAGGTGGATCTCTGAGTTCAGGGCCAGCCTGGTCTATAGTGAGTTCCAGGGCAGCTGGGGTTTACAGGGAGCGCCTGTCTCAAAAGATGCTCCCCCGTAAAAAAATTTATTATTTTTTATCTTATGTGCATGAGTGTACTGCCTGCATGTATTACTTGCAGTGCAAGTAATTGTGCAGTGTCTGCAGAGGTCAGAAGGAGGCATTGGATCCCCTGAAATGGGAATTATGGATGGCTGTTAGCTGCCATGTGGGTGCTGGGAATCAAACCCAGATCCTCTGCAAGAGCAGCCAGTGCTCTTAACCTCTGAGCCATCTCTCTAGCCCTTAAAAAAAGGCTGTCCCCTTCAAAATAAAAAGCACATTTATTTCTCTCATATTGCACCATTATTAAGCTCTGGCTCCAATTCTTTACAGTACTGCCCAGATCTCTTTAATTCCTACTATTAGCTGACAAACAGAGAAGCCCGGATTCAATGGTGGCACTCTGATGCCAGATGGTGTCGACAAGTGCCCCAGGACAAAGAAGGGTGTGCTATCCAGAAGAATACAGCTCCTTCATACAGCTGAATAAATAGCACATATGGCCACCTATGATGCACCAAAAGGTATTGCACCTTAAGAAAACTGCAGACCAGGCATGGCGCTGCATATGTCTGTAATCCTAGCACCTGAGAGTGATAGGCAGAGGACCACAAGTTCCAGGCTAGCCTGGTTACATATGGAGTTCCAGACCAAACAGGGCTACAGTGAGACCCTACCTCAAAACCAAAAACCAAAACCAACCCACCCACCCACCCACCCTAAAGAAAGCAAGCAGATGAGAGGTATTACATAAGCTGCACTTCCACCTCCTGACCACAAAGGGGCATCCTGATGCCACATGGAAATCAGTGGCATTGAAATGTTCTTGTAAATTCTTTTCACAATTCTCCCCATACCACATCCTAATTTAAATAAAGGATGTACACCTAGAAAAATTAGGCATCTCACCTGTGCATTAGGATACAGATGAGGAGGTGGTGGAGGAGGCAGTGCTCCTGGAGCATAAGGGTAACTGGGATTACCAAAATTCATGACGCCTGGACCAGAAAAGTAAGTAGGAGCAAGCAATTGCTGAGGTGGTGGCTGTCCTGGAGACATGGACACTGGTGGGGGGTAGAGGCCTGGACTGGGCAGAGGTGCTGGTGACTGGTGGGGATGTAAACCTGGACAAAGAAAGGAAAACAAAAACTTTATAATCCTCAAGATGAACTTAACAGTTTGCTATACAAGCAGCCAGGGTAGCCAGCCTCACAGGCTAGCAGCACAAGGCTCAAGAAGGTAGGGTTTGTGCAGATCCTAACACATATCTGCACATACTGTAGCATACAAGAGCAAGAAAGCTTACCTGGGTGGGGAAGGTGCATTTCTGGTTGTACAATCATGCCCTGTGGAGGCAGTGGGGCAGGGCTGTCACCATGGGTATAGATTGGTCCCTGGAACTGCACTGTAAGATATATTGAGATTCTTACAAACCCCTATCCTTCATACCACACCAGTCAACTTTCTATCATGTCCTTGATGTTCTTAAATTTCTGGTGGGAAGAAAATGGCAACTAGATAACATGTGATATTCACTGTAATGTCAGAAGGAAAACTGAGAGGTAGAAGGCTGGACCCTGAACTCCCTTTACCCCAACAATAAGAACTCACATGGATCATAGTAATGCCCCTCCATGATACTGATATGCACAGGAGGAGCAGGGGGCTCGGGCACAGGTCTCTGCCGCTGGGATGAATAACGTTTGGCTCGACCACTCTGGACACCCTGAGATTTAAAAAAAAAAAAAGGTCTGAATAACACTTCCAGATGGTTGACGCACATCAAATCCTACCTGCTTTAGATGCTAAAAAACTTGGTACATGGCAGGCATTTAATAAGTATTTGTAAAATCAATTTGAAAAATTGATGAAAAACAGCAGCATTTGAACCTAAACCCTCAATTTTGGACCTTAATTTCTGAGGTCCAAATTAAAAGAAACATGGGTAATCAATGGAAAAACTGGCATTAAGAATTTATCTTGGCTGGGCTATTATAAGCCTGTAATCCCAAAACTTGGGAGCCAATCTGAGCTACATGCTGAGTTCCAGGTCAGCCTGGGTTAGGGTTCAAATGCTGATGTCTTTCACCAATTTTTCAAATTGATTTTACAAATACTTATCACAAACCTTAAACAACAAAATGACCTTATTTTGATTTCAACAGTGAACAACATATACTATGTGCCTCCTCCCCCACTTACCCCTCTTCCCATTTTTGGACAGTACTGAAGACTGAACCTAGTCTATCATGCACGCTCTACCACTGAGCCAGCCCTCCCTCTTCCCTTTTTTGTACCATTTCTTCCATCCGGTTAAACTGAGGTGGAGGTCCTGCTCCAACATGGATGTGGTTGGATATGCCTGTAATATACCAAAATGTCACTGGTTGAGAGCAGATGTGTGTGAGTGGGATGCAAAGGTATCAAGAAAATGACAAGTTGAACATGGGGAATGGTATTCTTTTAAGCCATCAGAATTCCTTGTAATCTGCTTATTGCCAACGCTAGCATTTGAAAATCTGTCCCCATAGTCCACAATATTTTTTATGACAATAAAGTCCTTGAACATTAAAAAAAAAGAACTCTGATCAGGCATGTGGTGCATGGCTTTAATCACAGCACTCAGGAGGCAGCGGTGAATCTATGTGACACTGAGGCTAGCAGCTCTACACAGGAGTTCCAGGCTAGCTGGGGCTATAGGGAGACCTTGTCTCAAAAAAAGAAGAGAGAGAAAGACCTTGGTAAATGAAAACGCAAGTTCAAATTTTTCCTACCAAATAAAATATTTCTCTCTATAAAAACCCTGGAGGTTAGAATTAGCACATTGTAAAGTCTCTGCCTGAATGCTTCCTTAACACTAAATATAGGGAACAGATTAATTCTCTCTGGCTAAAAATTACTCAGGACAAAAAAGGAATGTTTTATAGACAGGCTCCAAAGATAATCAGGTATCAATAGGAGAGATCAACTCTAGAATCAGTATAGAGTACACTGGTTTTTGGTGTTAAGAACCACCTATACCAAAAGGGTACAAAATTCCCAGTGCAAATGAAGATTTTCAATCTTTAAGTCTGGACTAGATTTCATAAACTAAAGGATATCTACTAGTTATGTGATTTTAAAATTAATTAAAAGTACAATTCTTCCCTCTAGCCACATTTCAAAAACTCAAAAGCACCACAAATCACATAAAGTTCTAGCGAGTAGTCTATCTCTAGAAGAAAAAGGAAATCAGGAAGGCTTTCTTTCAAAAACAAAGTATCTAAGCTGGGTGTGGTGATGTACACCAATCCCAGCACTGAGAGGCAGAGGCAGGTGGATCTCTGTGAGTTCAAGGCCAGCCTGGTCTACAAGTGAGTTCCTGGACAACTGGGGCTATAGGGAAATCCTGCCTCAAAATGACCAAAAAGGGGGGACGGGGGACTTAAGATTCAAACATTCAACCATTGGCTCAAAAAGTATGAAGACTGCTATCTGCTACCACTTTTTGTACAGAATAGAAAATGATTCTGTACTTGAGAGCTAAATAAGGATGAGTTAACAGTATGTAAAGTAGCAGGACAGTTTTGAGTAACATAGAAAACTGCTGAGGACTCGTAAAATAGATGTACCCTTTTTGCTCAGTTAAGAAAAAGGAAGGTATCTGTCAGGTACCACATTTCTGAGAGATCTAAGTCCCAGTGATACAAAGGAAAAAACTAGCAACCAACCCTGTGATACTTACCTCGAAGTTCCCGTGGTTGTGGGAACGAAGGCTGTCCCGGACTCCAATTCTGTTCTGCTATATTTAGCTGTGCTACATCTTGCTCAAGTCCACCTGCAGCAGAATCTACTGGAGTCTCCCAGTTCCCGGTCTTAGTAGTTGGAGTAGTAGTTTCTGGGACTGCAGGCACTGAAGTGAGTCCTTCTGGTGGAGGGGGCACCTCCTCAGCAACCTTGACTGCATCCCCAACTTTGGTCCGGGTTCTTCTTGCCCGAGAATAGGATTTCTTCTCAATAGGCCTGTCAGGGGCTGGTGGTGCAATGTCAGGAGCAGCAGCTGGTGTCTCTGAGGTTGCCTCCTCTTTCTCAGGACTGCCAAGCACTGGAGCATCTGGGTCTGGAGATGGATCCCTCATAGGAGTCTGCTCCAGGCGCCGTGACCGGTAATTAGCCTCATGCTTAATGGTCTCACCAGACCGGCCACCATGCTGCCCACCAGCCTCTGTAGGCCTAAAACCAGTACGGCCTTCCTTGAATCCCGCAGATCGAGAATAATTCCTGGGTGCAGACATGCGGCCAGTACCCGCTGCATTCCTGTTAATAAATGTCCTTGGTGGTAGAGTGCCCCCAGGACCCTGGTGGCGATAGGACTTGTTTGATCGCTCACCAATCCAGTTTGGATCTCTTTGTGGAGGACTTCCAAATCTGAAACAATAGAGAAGATTGTTAAAACATAACAAAGGGACCCCTATGGAGATAAATGGCCAGCTGGGGAGATATCCTGAATTCCTTACTTTGTCACAGGCTAGAAAGGTATTTAGAAAAGCAGAAGAGTTCTTTGCAAAATATCAGTGATCCACGGTCCTCAATTTCCTTACCGAGGTTTCCGAATTCTTCGGGGTTTGATGTCATCAGGATTGTGAGCTGAGCGGATGTCATAGCCATAAAGAGCAATGAGCTCCTGTCGAGACTTTGGGGCCTGCTCATCTTCACGGAACTTATCATGCTCCCAGCGACCCTCATCCTTCCATAGCTTCCGCTGTCGCCCCTTGGGTCTGGGACCAAATCAAGCAAAAGTGTCCTGAGCCAATGAAGTATCTGAAAGCTCTTTCTACTAAAATGTAGAAGTAAATTTTCTATTTCAGAAGCCACAGATTAAAGGCAGAAGTGCAATGATTAAGGTTCTGGATCCCAGCTTTTACCACCAACTGTTTCCAAATCTTTTTTTCGGTCTTTTTAAGACAGGGTCTCCCTGTAGCCCCAGCTGTCCTGGAACTATGTAGACCAGGCTGACCTTGAACTCACAGAGATCTGTCTGCCTCTGACTCCTGAGTGCTGGGATTAAAGGCATGAGCCACTATCCCTGGCTTCTTTTTGCTTTTTTATTTATTTTTTGGTCTTTTTGAGACAGGGTCTCCCTATAGCCCCAGCTGTCCTAGAACTCACTATGTAGACCAGGCTGGTCTTGAACTCACAGAGATCCGCCTGCCTCTGCCTCTTGAATGCTGAGATTAAAGGCATGTGCCACCATGCCCGGCTCAGGAATTTTTTTTTTTTTGGTCTTTTTGAGACAGGGTTTCCCTGTAGTCCCAGCCGGCCTGGAACTCACTATGTAGACCAGGCTGCCTCAAACTCACAGAGATCCGCCTGCCTCTGCCTCCCGAGTGCTGGAACTAAAGGCATACACCACTCACGCCCGGCTTTTTAAAAATATTATTTTTATTTTATGTGTATGAGTGTTATGCCTGCATGTATGTAAGTGCATCTGTGTCGTGCAATGCCCATGGAGGACAGAAGAGGCTGTAAGACCCCCTGGAACTAGAGTTACAGACAGTTATTAGCTGCCATGTGGGTGCTGGGAATCGAATCCGGGTCTTCTGCAAGAACAGTTGGTGTTCTTAACTACTGAGCCATCTCTCCAGCCCCTCTTTTTGCTTTTTGAGACAGTCTTACTATATAGCCCAGGCTGGCTTCAAGTTTATGATCCTTCTGCCTCAGCCTCTTGAGTGCTGGGATTACAAGTGAATGATACCATGGCCAACGAGTTACCAAGTATTCTAAGCTTCACTTTCCTCACCTGCACAGGAGGAATAATCATAATCATAATAATAATCATAATGCTTATCTTAAAATGTTCTGTGTAATGAATGAAACAATATAGGCAGAGAACTTAGCAAAGCTTCTGACATACAATAAGCACTAAATACATGCTAAACAGCAGCAGGAACAGCAGAATGGCTGTTACCTGACTTCCTCCTCCTGAGTTTGTCCTCTAAGATCATGCTCAAAGAAGAGGCCTTTCCGGGGTATGTATGCTGGATTTTTTCGATCTTCATCATCATCCAAATGTTTAGGGCCTTTTTTACCCACTTTGTTCTCCACAGGCTCTGTGCTCTCCTGGAAGACAAAAGACTCCTTACTCCTCTCCAAGGAATTGAGCAGCCTTATTCTAGTCCCCAATGAAGAATTATGCTGTGTACTGACCTGCCCGTCCCCACTCTGCCTCTCTCCAGTCACAGTGCCTTTGGTCTCAGGCTTTTCTTCTCCCTTCTCTTCTTTTGCTGAAGAATTAGCAGCATCATTAGCTTCTGATTTCAGTTCTACTTTAGAGTTTTCCTCTTCACTGTATTCTTCTTCACCCTGAAAGAGTTTCCTTGTTAATTATGAAGGTAAGATCTGAATGGTGACTATTTTCCATTCTTCAGGGAAACCTTTTATTACAATATTTTCTAGCAAACCTTTAACTACAATGTAAGAATTAAAAAGCAGCAAGGCAAATATGGTAGCCTACACTTAAAATGGGCTAGGGAGACAGCTCAGTTGTAAAGGGCTTGCCATACAAGCATGAGGACCTAAATCAAGCACCCATATAAAAAACCAGGTGTGGAAACGCATACTTGCAATCCTGATGCTCAGATGGCACAGTCAGGATCCTTGGGGCTTGCTGGCCAACCAGCCTAGATTAAATAATAGCTCCAGGTCCTGGTGAGAGACCATGTCTCAAAAACAAGCTGGATGGCTCCTGAGGAATGACACCTGAGGTTGTCCTCTGGCTTCTACACACATACTAAATAAAAAATAAAAATAGCATTACCAGGGCTAGGGGTATAACTTTATGATGGAGTGTTTGCCTAGCATGGTAAGGCTCTGGGTTCAATCCCCAGCAACATAAGCACACATACATGTCAAAAATCAAGTTTTTTTTTTTTTGGTCTTTTTGAGACAGGTTTTCCCTATAGCCCCAGCTGTCCTGAACTCACTATGTAGACCAGGCTGGCCTCAAACTCAGAGATCCACCTGCCTCTGCCTCCCAAGTGCTGGGATTAAAGGCGTCTGCCACCACGCTTGGCTAAAATCAATATATATTTTAGAAAATATTTTATTATTTTTATTTTGCGTGAGCGTACTGCTTGCATGTATGTGAGTGCACCCGTGTCGTGCAATGCCGTGGAGGTCAGAAGAGGGTGTCGGATTCCCCTGGAACTGGAGTTAAGGATGGTTCATAGCCGCCATGTGAGTGCTGGGAATCAAACCTGGGTCCTCTGCAAGAACAGTGCTTTTAACCGCTGAGCCATCTCTCCAGCCCCAAAATTAATATTCCTAAAAAATTTTTTTACATGTATGAGTGTCTGGCTTACATGTAAGTATACCATGAGTGTGCAACACCCACAGGGGCCAGAAGACGGTGTCAGATCCCCTGGAACTGGAGTTTCCAATAGATACTAGCTATGTGGAACTGATCTTGGGTCCTCTACAAGAACAGCCAGTGCTCTTAACCACTGAGCTGTCTCTCTAGTCCCGTGACTTATATTTTTGATGTCTACGATATGGCTGCTAAATTACCTGCAGCATGAGATTCTCAGAGGCAACAACAATACCCTGAATCCCATTATAAAATTTTTACCTGGAAAATCTTAGAGAACAACTTGTGTTAAAAATTTTAAATGGAGCCGGGCATGGTGGAACTCTGTGAGTTCAAGGCCAGCCTGGTCTACAGTGAGTTCCAGGACAGCTGGGGCTACAGGAAGGCCCTCTCAAAAAGACCAAAAAAAATAAACAAATAAAAAATAAAATAAAATGGGCTGGATAGATGGCTTAGCAGTTAAGAGCATTGACTGCTCTTGCAGAGGACTCAGGTTCAATTCCCAGCACCCACACAGCGGCTATGAACCATCCTTAACTCCACTTCTAGGGGAATCCGAAGCCCTCTTCTGACCTCTTTGGCACTGTACGCATTTCACGACACAGGTGCACTCACATACATGCAGGCAATACACTCATACACATAAAATAAAAATAATAAATAAAATATTTTTAAAAATTAAAACAAAAACAAAAACAGAAAAACCTCAATAAAAAAACAGAGAGATGGACAGAGCTGGCTCAGCAATTAAGAGCACTGGTTGCTCTTAAAAAGGACCTCAGCTGAGTTCACAGCACCCACATGGTGGCTAACAACCATCTGTAATTCCAGTTCTAGTTCCAGGGGATCCAACACCCATTTCTGACCTCGATGGACACTTACACACATGTATATAAAACACTCCTATACATAAAAGGTTAAAAAACCCCACAACACTACGAAAGTGGTTTGACTAATTAAAAGAACTCTAAATCCTAAGTACTCGCTCCTCATTATCTTTGTCCTTCTCTTAACACATCAAGATCACATGATCCTCCACCTAGCAGAGACTGTTAGGCCTCTCATAAGGAGATGATTAATAGGACAAGAAATGGAGGTGCAGCTAGCTCCAGGGAGGGAAAGGCAGTGGCTTTACAAAGGGTCATACTCTCCTGCCTGATCCTCCCCAGATCTGGACCTACAGATGCTGATTAAAGGTAAAGCGGTAGGTTTATAGATCTATGAGGACTTAAATAGGCTCAAGGGAAGGTGGTTTAGTCCCCATTGATATTATCTCTGCAGCCTGCTAGATATGTGTACACTGGTCACCTATTTTACTAGGTGATTTAACCTAAGAATGCCCTCTCACTTCTCAATCCCAGAAATCTAGTCAGAGATACCATGTCAAAGTCCTGACTGGGTCAGATACTTTCAATGTTCTGCCCTTTCTTCAAATAAAACTAAGGCTGCGTAACTGACCCAGACAAGCCATCCCTTATTTCCATGACTATACTCTAAACCACTCAGTATCCAGGTATTTTGGATTCAAAGTGTTTTGAGTTAAGATTCTCAGAAAACTGAGGGAGACTGCTTAACTATATCTGCACTATGACAATGCAAGTCTTTTTTTAAAAAAAATATTTATTATTATTTTATGTATATGCGTGTATTGCCTGCATGTAGGTAAGTGCACCTGTCCTGTGCAATGCCTGAGGAAGACAGAAGAGGCTGTCGGTTCCCCTGGAACTGAAGTTACGGACAGCTGTTAGCTGCCAGGTGAGTGTTGGGAATTGAACCTGGGTCTTCTGCAAGAACAGTAAGTGTTCTTAACTGCTGAGCCATTTCTCCAGCCCTGACAGTGCAGTCTTTACAGCTTAACATGCATCCTTGATTCTTCTCAACCTCCTCAATTATATGAAGTTTTCCCTCTTTTTGATATGGAGATAATGGGTGGCAATCACTCAATGCTTTCCTTAATCCTAAATTCCTCCTCAGGCCATGGAGCATAAAGAACATGCTTGGTGTGTACATACATGCTATTTCACTATGCTCCATTCCCTACATGCTCTCTGAATTTAAATATTTAATACCCCAAGTACTAGGTTTACAGAATTGTGCCACCATGTTCAGCTAATTTAAACATTAAAAATACTATAAGTGAGCCAGGTGTAGTGACATACACCTTTAATCCCAGGACTCAGAGGCAGGCAGATCTCTGTGAGCTCAGGGCCAGCCTGGTCTCCATAGTGAGTTCCAGGTCATCCGGGAACAGAGGGAGACCCTGTCTCAAAAAAACCCAACCACACACCCACCCACACACACACACACAAAAATTAGCATTAGCATGATCAATAAGGGAACTTTGTTTTACACTCCATTCTCTTTAGTCTGTGGTAGAATGTCAAAGACACAACTCTTAATCCAACTGAGAAAGTAATTTTTCTGGGATGATGGCACACACCCTTAATTTCAGCACTCAAGAGGCAGAGACAGACATGGGCAGAGCTCTAGGAATTTGAGGCCAGCCTAGTCTACCCAGCAAGTTCCAGGCCAGCTAGGGCTACATGATGAGAACCTGTCTCAAAAAAGAGAGGGAGAGAGAGAGAGAGGAGAAAGAGGAGGGCGGGGGGAAGAAGGGGAAGGAGGGAGGGAGAAAGAGAAACTAATCTTGTTTCCAAGGCAGAACAGGACAGCATAGTGCTAAGGAGACTCCAAACCAGATACAAAGCCTGGTCTAACTGAAGCCAAACTACTACCCAAGAACCATATTGGTTTAGATAAGGGATATCAAGTCATCAAAACTCTTTCTAGAGAAACAAACTCCACTACATTAACCACCACTTTACTAAAACTGTTCAACTCTTACTACACCACTTTACTAAAACTGTTCAACTTCTTACTGTCCTGAAACAACTGAATCTCTTAAAGAATTTTCTTTTGGGGTTGGAGAGATGTCTTAGTGGTTAAGAGCACTGGCTGCTATTTCAGAGGACCCAGATTTGGTTCCCAGAACTTACAGAGCAACTAACAACCATCTATAACTCTAGTTCCAGGTGACCTGATGCCCTCTTCTGACCTCTGTGAGCACTGCATGACACGGCACATTTACATACATGCAGGTAATACACTCATACACAAAATAAATATAAATATTTTTAATTTTTTTCTCGTTTTTAAAAGATATTTTATGTGGCTGGCCGTGGTGGTGCATGCCTTTAATCCCAGCACTTGGGAGGCAGAGGCAGGCGGAACTCTGAATTTGAGACCAGCCTGGTCTAGTGCGTTCCAGGCCAGTTGGGGCTACAGGGAGATGAGAAGACCCAGGTTCGAATCCCAGCACCCACATGGCAGCTAACAACTGTCTGTAGCTCCAGTTCCAGGGGATCCGACAGCCTCTTCTGTCCTCCACAGGCATTGCACAGCATGAGTACACTTACCTACATGCAGGCAACACACGCATACACATAAAATAAAAAAAATAAAAAAAGGAGAGCCGGTTGTGGTGGGGCACGCCTTTAATCCCAGCACTCAGAGGAGGCAGAAACAGATGGTTCTCTGTGATTTCAAGGTCAGCCGGGTCAACATAGTAAGTTCAGGGAGACCCTGTCTCAAAAAGACAAAAAACACACAAACAAAAACATAGAACAGATTCCACAAAGTTGTCCTCTGCACACACCTCCCACACATACAGTAAAAATAAATTTAAAGGATTTTAAAAAATTTTATGTGTGTGTCAATATGTGTGGTCAGAGTAGGGTACTAGAACCCCTGGAGCTGGAGTTACAGGTAGCTGTGAGTCAACCCATATGAGTACTGGGAACTGGGAACCAAACTGGGGTCCTTTGCAAGAGCAACAAGTGCTCTTAACTGCTGAGCCAATTCTCCAGTCCCATATATAATAAAGTTTCTTTCTTTTTTTTTTGAGACTGGATCTCCCCTTGATCGCAGAGATCCTTCCTTCTGCTTCTGCCTCTGCTGGGATTAAAGAATGTACTGCCATGCCCAGCTATATATAATAAAGAATTTGTTTATCAATACAATAAAAGAGACTAAAGCACATTTTTCTTCAACAGATATGACTACAGACTGAATGTTACAGAGGGCTGTTTCCTGCAAGGTTTGTCTCCTCAGCCATTGCCCACAGATCTCCAAGAAAGTAAGAATATACAGATACAAACACAAAGCCCAGCTTCTTTTCCAATGATGTAGAAAAGAACCTACATTCTCATATACCACTTGGACAAAGCCCAGGTAAAGTGCCTCTTGGGGATCCACACTGGACCAAGTCCTTGAAAGCAGAAAGCTTTTCGCCTGTTTCATAAAGTAAGAACAAAGAAAGGAACACCAGCTTCCTTCACATGTAACTTCCCTTCTCACCTCTCCACAATCACTATTTCTTCCCCTTACTACCGGTTCCTTCCATCTTTACTGAACTGGGAACTCTTCCACCTTCAATACATAATGACAAAATCACCTTCTGTCCTCAAAGTGTTCGCTCTAGCTACCATCTCTGGCTAATACAAGCTGTTCACCTTTTTTTTTGAGGCAGGGTGTCTCAGTGGTTTGGAGTGCACCAAAGTAGGCGAGGTTGTCTCTGCAAACTCCAGAGATCTGCCTGTTTCTACCTCCCCAGCACTGGAATTAGAAGCACAGAGCCATCACCACACACAGCTTCTTACATGGGTTCTAAGGATTGAATTCGGTTCCTCTTTACCAAGTCACCTCCACAACTCTTATCTGAACTTATTTATTTTTCAGCTAATCTGTTCCTGTGCCAGTTTTTGATTCTTCAAGCTATCTTTTTTTGGTACTACTTCCTAAAAATAAGAATTCTGCAATAGTGCTTACTGTTATTATCTCCAAAAGCTTAACAGAATCTAAGATATAAAAAAATAAGAATTCTGCAATAGCACTTACTGTTATTATCTCCAAAAGCTTAACAGAATCTAAGATATAGGTTAAGGGGTTGGAGAGATGGCTCAGCAGTTAAGAACATTGGTTGTTTTTGCAGAAGACCCAGGTTCGAATCCCAGCACCCACATGGCAGCTAATAACTGCCTGTAACTCCAGTCCCAGGGGATCCGAAGCCTCTTCTGACCTCCACGGGCGCTGCACGACATGGGTGCACTTACCTACATACAGGCAATACATGCATACACACAAAATAAAAATAATAAATAAAAATTTTTAAAAAGTTAAAAAAAAAAAGATGTAGGTTAAAATTCTACGAAATTTATATAAGGGCCTCAGTAGTTGGGAACCTTTGTTGCATGCATCAAACCCTTCAACCCCTAGTACCACAAAACAAGCACACACACACACACACACACGCACACAAAACCAACTAAACAAATTTACAGAATATTTGATCCACAATACAATTTTCCCTACATACAACCCCATCACCAAAATCCGTTAACTCAAAAGTCTACAATTCTAAAACAAATAATTCTACAACAAAGTTATTCCCACAGTATCTGTAGTTATCAATCCAATCAAAAGAAAAAAAGCCCAAAAGTCTGTCTTTGGGAAACTTTCTCCAATAGACACAGCAAAAAAGCCTGATCTATAAAATGGAGAATGCTTTTTGAGCACAAACTACTCAGAACCCTGTCCTCTCTAAGTACTTGGGGAAAGATATTTAGGGGATACTAAGATACTTGGGGAAAAGTACTCAACCTAGACAGCATAATGAACTGTCAAACACCTTGTGAAGAACCTCAGGTATTCTCATTCTCTGATTCAAAAACTTATTTTCTTCAAATAAGAATAAACCAATTACTAGTGTGATCCTATAGCTTGAAGAGGTTTGGCCTCAAGACGCTATCACAAATGGAACAAGATCTTCCCTAATAGGTTTTTTTTTTTGGTCTTTTTGAGATAGGGTCTCTCTGTAGCCCCCGCTGGCCTTGAACTCACAGAGATCCACCTGTCTCTGCCTCCCCAGTGCTGGAATCAAAGACATGCACCACCGGGTCTGGCTCCCTAATAGTTTTTAAAAAACATAACTGAAGAGTGGACGAGCAGAGAAACAAACAGGTCATTGAAGTTTTGCACAACATAGATGTAGGTTTTTAAGATACATTTTCTGACTTATACCTTAAGGAAAAAGAATCTATCACACTCACTTCTGAATCTTCTGCACTTTCATAATCCGAAAGAACGGCTGAAAAGGAAACAGAAACACGTGAGGGGAGGTAAGCAACAGCAATTATTATGATGACATTCCTGGTTGCTTACTGTGTGGGTCAGGCTAAAATTCTTATTTTACTCTGACATCAACCTTTGAGGTAGATAAAATCACAGTCCCATTCACAGATGGAGAAATTGTGACCAACTGACAAAACCTATCTCTTGACACAAGGTACTCTAGTCACAGTCCAGCCCACTGTCCCTTGCAGTATATTCATCTGTTAACTTCCAAAACACGAAACAACTATGCTCTATTGTAAACACGGTTACAAAGAGCCACTCCCGGGCACACTCCCCTCAAGCCTGTTGGAAAAGGCGGCCTCGTGATAAAGTCAAAGTACTCACCATCGCCTTCCATGCCATCTTCACTTTCCTGAAGGGAAGAAGACGACATGGGTTAGCTCTGTGATTTCTAGACGTGGGGCGCCCAAAAAAGAAATGGAGGGGGACAGGTTACTGAAAAACTAACACAAAATGGTTGAACAGGGAGACGGGGAGAGGTAATCTTGAACTGGTCACATTCAAGGGGGGGCCGGCTGTCCCCTCTCCTGCCCCAGTTTCCGAATCAACACCGGCTCTCCACCTGCTGCTGGCTGCCGTCCTCCCCTGCGGGCTCCGGGTGGATGCAAACTCGCCCCGGAATACCCTTCTCGCTGAAATCAGGCTCAGCGCTCGCAGCAGCAGCACCCCACCCCCTGCCGGGTTGCCGCCCGGCCGGCGCGCACTCACACACTCCGACTCCTCGGCGCTCTTGGCGCCCCCGCTCTCCACCCGCCGCAGATGAAGGCCCCCTGCGCGGCCGCCACGCTGAAAAGGCAGCGAGCCACTGCCGCCACCGCCACCGCTCCCGCTGAAGCTACCGCCGCCCCGCGCCGGGGAGCCGCTGTCGGAGCCCGAAGCACCAGACTCTTCGTCCTCCGTGTCCTGCGAAGCGCGCTGCCGCCGCCGGTCCGCCATCTTACGGAGAACGGCCACGGCTGGTCAGCTACTTACGCACCACGCCCGTCGCACAGGCTGCCGGGAGGCTCTCGGGCTGGTCCCGACATGCTTCGCACCCAGCGCTGGGCCGCCCCGCTTCTCTTGGGGCGGGGCTTGCGCCCTGCGGCACGTTTTCGGCCGAGCGAGATGACGTCTGTAGTGGCGTAGGGGGCGTGCTCCCCCCGCCCGGAAGCCGGGCTGGCGTCAGATGAGGGGAGCGGACTCCGGTAGCCACTCCGGCTGTGTAGTCCGGCCCGGCCATCTTGGGCATTCCTTGGGGAGGGCTGCGACATTAGAGCTATTGCAGGATTTTCGTTTCTAGTTCTCATTTCTCCCTAAATTTGAGGCAGAGAGTTCTGCAGTATTCTGTCGCTTGGTAAAATCACGAATCAAGGTTTTTAACCTTGGTCCTGCATCAGATTTGCTACCTCCATCTCAGTGTAAGCTGAGGGGGGGAGGAGAAACCGTCTGCAGTGCAGGCAGAGGACTTAGGTGGCGTTTTCTGTGTGTATTCAGTTCCCTTCTCCATGGGTCTTTCCAGCCCAGCTATCTATCACCTTTTGCGAAAGTGCAGGCTTACCGGTAGGATGCTAGTCTTACTAAAACTTTAAAACTTATTTAGGGCTGGGTCATCTTTGGCTGCATAGTTTGACCATCCTGGAATCATGTCTTTAAAAAAAAAAAAAAAAGATTTTTACCTGGGTGTGGTACGAAAGTGGATTTCTGAGATCCGAAGCCAGTCTGGTCCACAGAGTGAGTTCCAGGCCAGCTGGGGTTACAGGGAGTCCTTT